CCCCCCCCCCCCCCCCCATCACTTTTCTAATAGTCCGCCCCTAATCATATCTGTTAGCCCAAATAAACTAACCTGGTTAACTTGTTCAGTCAATGTGGCAGTAATATAACTTTTAAGCTCCTTCACAGCAGGCGAATCTGAAACAAAATTTAATGTGATAAATTTAATGTAAGACCAAAAACGTTTCTGGCCACAAACTTGAAAGAAAACAGGGCAAGACAGTATGCAAAATATTGTGGTTTATTATAATTCATATTTCTAATGGAAAGATAGGTAGGTTTGAAACAATCCTATATACATACGAGACTTTAACACAGATGGAAGAATAATATTTTAACAAGATTCCTTTGTTTAAATGGCTCCAATGGCTCCAGCTATAATTGAGCTTGGGTATTCGAATTACATCTTACTGGGTATTGGAGTTCGACCGAATATCTCTGACACTGCATGTGACCATAGTACAAATGACCGAATTTAACCTAGGCACATTTAACCAAAAACATAACCGTTTAATATATAACATCTCATTAAATTATGATCATTTAATTGTTGATTATGATCACGTGATATGGAATAAAAATTACCATTTTGCGAGCGTGTAATAGAATACGTTTCATTGCACGGAAAGATACAATCATTCAAAATCGTATTCGTGTCGTAATCGCATTCAAAATCGTATTCGTATCGGCGAAGCAAATGGCGGATGTAAAAATATAATATTTTAACGATAATGTTGAGTTAAATGACCTCCATTATCATATTCAATCTTCACTAAAACATTTTTCGGCACTTTTCTGTCGGATAATTTTAATTACACTTTGCACTTCAAAGATTTCAATTTAGCTCAGATTCTCGTACCTTCCTCTGTAGTTTTGTTTCCTGCAACGTCATCTTGTCCATCCTCACAAATTTCTTTCTTTAAACATAAACAAAGTAAGAACATCAAAGTGTGTACACTTAACGGGTGGAACTAAAAATGTGGACAAATTTCAACACAGTGCACAGCCTTTAGCACTAGGCAGACGTTGCGTGTAAAAGTTTAAATGTAAGCTTGTTTACTCGAATATCGTAAGACACATTTGTTGTTAGCACTTTTGACCTACAATGAATTAATCCAAATAATCTTTGGACTAACGGCCAAAATGTGCAAAATGAACAAAACAACGTTATTTGTGCACTCTCTAGCTCGTATAAACAAATGCCTTTTTGGAAGATGCAGATTATTATCGGTGGCTTAGAAAAGTCCAATGGACAATGGAATTTGATATATTTGTGTGACTGTAATTGACAGGAGGTGTTCTTGAAATTGCTACTCACAATGAATATATTCTTTTCAAAGATATCTATAAGATGTTGGTATCATCTTGTGAGAATTTTCTTTGAAGTTTTGTCTCCAAATAAGGGACCAGTCATTATTTATGGCGGGGGGTGGCACCGAAGAGAAAAGGGTTGGGTAAACTAAATTTGAGTAAGTAAAGGGTTGGGTAAATGAAAAACAAAACAACTCAAGGGTTGGGTAATAAAAATTTATTGTCATTTCCAAAGCATGACTCACTCACTGGAGACAAATGCATGGTATCTCCAACAAAAGTACATGTGCAGACAATATTAAACTTTA